TGTTGGGGGGGTGTGGGGGGGGGGGGGGGGGGGGGGGGGGGTTGGGGTGCCATGAGTGCCAGACTAAGGGGTGTCAGCCTTAGGACAATCTACAATAATAAAGCATAATATGCTAATTAGACTGGACGTCCTTCCTTCCATCAAAGCTGCAGTGGGTGCGTGTGGGAAACTGATATAGCGTTGAGCCTCGGACTGACCTGCTGGCAAAGTCACAAACAAGTCCCAGCTTAGAGGGTTCAGTCCTCTAAGCATAATTAGGCTTGACCTTATAACACTCCCTAGATCTTATCTGGGAAGCTAATGGGCTGAGGAAGTGCAGGAAGTGTAACCATGGTCAAAACAAGCGAAACTCACCAAGAACTGTGTAACTATGGTAACCACTACCTTGTTTACCTCTCACTATAAAAAGCTTGGTAAGGCCTGAGCACAGTGGAAGTCCTTCCTCTTGAGTTGGACTTACCTGCCTGGTCCCCCAATATTTCCAAATTATCTCTTGTCTTTTCTATTTCATTTGTGTGCGGCTCCTCTTCCAGATATTGAACCCTGAACCACGCGGGACGTGGAGGGAAACATTTAGGACAGGTGGGGGCTGCAGCAGAAGCAGCAGAGGCCCCCGGCATGGTGGTGGCAGGCGGGGGCCAGGACCAAGGCCCTTGCACGAATTTCGTGCACCAGGCCTCTAGTGAGGATATAAACCTTGGGAGATTAAACTAAGAAGAATTAAAGTAGGAAGAAACAGGTAAAATCACCAAGTACCAGAAATGCTATATATATTGATTGATTGATTGATTGATTTTAGAGAGAGAGGGAGGAAGGGAGAGGGAGACAGAAAAACATCAATGAGAGAAATATCGAACGGCTGCCTCCTGTACACACTACTGGAGATTGAGCCAACAACCAGGGCATGTGCCCTGTCCTGGAATCAAACCAGTGACCTCTCAGTGCATGGGACTAGGCTCAACCAACTGAGCCACACTGGCCAAGGCAGGGACGCTATTTTCTAAGACTGCAGCCTAACCACACCCTTCTCAAAGCATTGCCTGACCACAGGCACTCACCCTGCGGCCTCAGTCTAGTTCAGCCGTGGGCAAACTACGGGATCCGGCCCGTTTGAAATGAATAAAACTAAAAAAAAACAAAAAAACAAAACAAAACAAAAAAACCGTACCCTTTTATGTAATGTTGTTTACTTTGAATTTATATTAGTTCACACAAACACTCCATCCATGCTTTTGTTCCGGCCCTCCGGTCCAGTTTAAGAACCCATTGTGGCCCTCGAGTCAAAAAGTTTGCCCACCCCTGGTCTAGTTCCACTCCCGTATTCCTCTAAGTGGTATCCTTTCTTTGGTACTCCAGAATTACCTTTTTATTACACAAATGATTACTAGTCACTTCCTGGCTTAAAAAGAAAAAAACACTTTGTCACCTCCTGACTTCAAAAGGAAAAAAGAGTCAATGGCTCCCGTTTAACTTAAAATTAAATCCAATGGTTACAAAACACTCCAAAATCCGTTCCTACCCTCATCTCTATCCTCACTGCCTCCTGCTTCATCCTCCCTCCCCACACCTCCCACGTGCCAGGTCACCATAATCAACAATCCTGCGTCCGCATACTTGGTATCGTTTCTCACTCCAGTGGGCTTTCCAGCTCTCTTCGCCCACAGAACATCTCCTTTATCAATTAAGATCTAATTAAAGTACTACTCGCTCAATGAAACTCTATGCCCTTGCACCCCTGTCTCGCCCATACACCCTCCCCGAAGAACATTAATTCTGAATGACACAATCTGTCTTTATTAAGTCCTGAGGCCAGTAAGTTGAGCACAACTGAAGAAAATCACAGAGTCTGGCAAAATTACAAATACAGTGGGGCCTTGACTTATCAGTGTCCTGACTAACGAGTTTTTTGAGATACCAGCTGTCTCTCGGCCGATTTTTTGCATTGAGTTGATAGAGTAATTTGAGTTAACGAGCTCCTTAACGAGCTCGGTCTCGGAACGAATTAAACTCAAGGCCCCACTGTATAGGCTCTTCACCCTCAGCCGAGTGGTCAGCATTGCTCTGACACCTGTATTCTTCTCTACTCATTTAACTTGTCAGCTCCGTTTTGCTCTCAAAGGTTATTCCAAAGTTTACTATGTCCCTCAATTTCTCCATCTCTCAAATAAATAACCTTGACTCACCCATTACCTGGAAAGCAGGCCTTGGGGCAGCTACCCCGCACCCATCCTTTGTCCACTCTTCATTTCTACTGAAAGACCAACACTTCCTCCACCTGTGACTTTATATCCATTTTCCCGTCTCTTCAGCCTATTAACTAGCCCATCTCTGGGGGAAGGGGTCCTCCCTTGACCCTAGGTCCCTCAAACTATTAACCAATCTTACGTTCCCTTCTTATGCTCCATCAAGCTCTAGTTAGGAGCACTATTCTATCTTCCCTTCCTCATCTTTCGTGACCATTAAGCCAAGCAATCTAGCCTCACCCCCACCCCCCAAAAAAACCTACACAACAGCTAGAGCAAAATTCCTAAAACTTCACCCTCCAGTTTTCTGTGGCCTCACACCCTCCCAGTTATGACACTTGCCTATCTTCATGGCCTTCTCTTCTCACTTCTCCTTAATATGTCCAAGCACTTGTATTTGGCTCACCATTCTTCTGACACTACGCTTTCTCTGAAAAATTTCATTTTCTCTCCTAGTATTCCTATGCAGAATACTCCCAAATATTTACTACCGGTCCAGACCATTCTATCATGCCCTATGCATACTCATGTATGTATTCACTGCCTTCTGGTCATCTCCACTTGATGTTATACGTTATACAAGCACATTAAATTCAGCACAGCCAAAACTTAAAGCTTACATCTGGCTATGCTCTCTATGTTAATAAATAAAGACACCCTTATGTCTACCCCAAGACTCATCCTTGATTGATCCTTCCTCCCCCTCCCCACTCCCACCCCTATTCAATTG